ATGTCTTTTTATTAAAATTTTATTATACAGGAGCTAGCTTAAAAAGTTATTAAATTGAGGTTTATTCTATTATGTGCAAGTTTTTTCAAGTACAAATGAGCTCTTAGCAACTTATGATCTGAGCTTATAGAAGGCAAAAAGATAGAATGATATCACTAGTTTTATATACTTATAATTCAACAACGCTTACTGTGCAGTTCATAACCTAAAGAAAACAAAATTTAAAGAAAACTGAGGATTATTAGAAATGTTTCGACTGCGTAAAAAAAACAAAAGTATTTATCAAGTAGGAGAAATATGACATTAGGAAGTGGATGACTGAAGTCGTTACGTCACATTGCCATGGTAGCAAAATTTGTGGATGAAACGTCACTTAAAAAGTGAGTTTGAACTGTTTCAAACTTCCTCGACCGTATTCAGTTTCTTTTAATTTGTCAAATGTAGGCGAAATTGTCTGAGGTTGAACCTAAAAGGACCGTATTTGAGTTTAGAAAAAGAAAAAGAAAATATTTGCGCTGCGTTCACCAACTCCACAAAGCGGGCGAGTGAAATTAGGAAGTTTTACGCCGCATTCGTGTAACAACGGCTTAGATATATGCAAAAAAGCGTGATGCATCTTCAAAGTTGCTGTTTTGCTTATACAAACCTATTTCTGTATTTGCCGTTCTCATTGCTGTCGCCGTCTTAAGCCCCAAAAAATCGGACGACCGCGTAGCGGAAGTCCGATTAAAGACCGAATTGGACGACACAAAGTTCTGTTACCAATTAATCATAACTTTAACAAAATTTTTGATATATAAGGCTCTTTTCTTAAAATCAAAACACAAGAAATTCCAAGACCTTTTTTTGGCCAGCAGTGAAAAGACGCCATTTAAGTGCCCGCGAAATGGCATGACGCGTACTGTCCTATTGAGGCTGAAATCTTCCTCGACCTGTATAATTTTTCACATCGTACTAAGCCTCATTCAATAATTGCTAATAATACTAAGAAGCAAAATTTCTTGTAAGCAAAGTCAGGGGAAGATTAGTCATTCCCTGAAGCCTAACTAAATAATGGAAGAAAATGTACAGTCAGCCTTTCTACTTTCACCGTTTGCTTGTATAATAAATACTCCACATAAGGATTTAATAAGTATCTCTTCTTAATTTGACTTACAGCACGTCAAGATGAATCAAGCTAAGATCTTTGCTGTGATGATGATCACGTGCTTAGTCATGTCCATAATGATTGACAGTGGGTAAGTTCCCGGCAGTCACCAGTCTCCTGCTAGGGAGCTCAATACCTTGCTCGTGCCCAGATCACTACTACCCTTATCACTGTCGTAGTTCCAGATTAAAGTAAAAGACTGGTGCCTCATATATATAGTGTACAAAAGAATCCTGATTTCTCAAACTCTAGGTTTCTCGAAGCCTCCCACACAGTTTAACCCAACACTTGCCTCCCTTTCCAAGCCAAACACTGTTTAATCACTTTACCCTGATCTCTCGAACCTTCACATAATTCCTCCCCAATGTTCATTTTTTTTTTCGAGTTTCCTTTTCCTCCATAGCTTCTAGATGTCGAGATTCCACTCTTCTTTTTAAGACAAATTAAAAGAAAAAGATGAAGGTCGTTACTCAAACGACATTGTCTTAAAAAATACTACAATCAGCTTCAGTCTTCTTAGCTCCCTCAGGTCCTTGATTTGGGATTCGACATATCCGATAATTGGTAAATGAAAATTTTTTTCAAGAACCCTTTTTTTTCTTTCTCCTATTCAGTGTTTGTGTGATGGGAATTCGTCATTCCCGGCGACGGGGATCAGTGCTACGAGGAAAGCGCCAGGCAATTGATTTTGGTGCAAATGAGAAACGTTTTGAGGGAAGCGCTACGGGGAAAAAAGAATCGAAAGAGGAGTAGTTGGATGAAGCCTAAAGCATTTCATAATGCAACTTAAGGCTTCTTTAGCTAAGTTTACTGGTATAACTTGGTGAAAAAAATTTATATGTATCTTACATAAAATCACAAAAAAAGACTTTCTGTGAATATTGTGTCCTTATTATGTGTTTTATTTTATCTAAATCTCGAACAGTCAAAATTTAAACTCCTTCTTCGGCTTGAGGCTTGCTCCTCGTTTATTTGAGCTCGATTACTGGCAATTAGAGGACGCGAAAGGCTGAATTCCGTGGGCTGAATTCATCTCCTGATTTACACATTGGACTACTTGAGCATTTAAAGTTTTTATTGAAAAGAGCCACAGTCGATGTACAGAAACATTAAAAAATTTGAGTTAGTGGTTTTGGCTACAGTCATGGAAAAAAGTCTTGTCAATAATGAAATTTACATTTGTTGCGCTTTTTTAAAACGACGCATGCCCATCGCCACTCCACCCCACCCCACATACAACGTTGTACCCGTGTATCAATGGTTTTTCCGCACTTTCAACATTGTATTGGGCCGTAGAAGGGGGGGAGGGGGGTTAACTGTAAGGTATCATTGCTTTTAAAGCTTAGGCATTCTCAAAGTTACAGGTAATTACGAATATTGTATTACTCTGATTACTGTCCCAAATAATTTTGTCCAGGATTGTACTTTACCTTAAGGGCCTGTTTACATGGAGAGCGGAAGATCCTAGAAGTGCGGATCATCCTAGCGCCACGCTTTCTGTATTCGGTTTATATGCAAAGAGTTGTACTTGTCCCAAGCGCTGGGATCTTCCTAGCCGAGAGAAAAGCAGATCCTATACTAGGCGGCAAACCAGACAAAAATAGTGGTGGATCTTTCAGTGGGTAACCACAGCAGAAAAGACCGACAATTTCTTGGCGTTACGGCAATACCAGTTGTAAAGAACTGTCAGCTGCTGCTGAAAGCAAAAGGGAGCAAAAAAGAGAGCAAAAGGGTCCAAATTGCATATTGGTTATTGTCGCGAGGAAGGATACCCAAGCAAATCCAAGCAGATCATCTGCATGGCTACGCTATCTGTAAACCACTCCACAGATATTTTTCTTCCAATTTTACTCTCATCATTTGCAATTCAAATAATTTGACCATAAGCAATAGAAATTTATTACAGCACAGCACACTGTAATTGACCTGTAACTGCACATACCAAAGCCACCCTTTGCAAGAGACAGAGCAAAATGCATGATTTATGAATTTTTTTGGCTAGTGTACAGGACCGTATACGTAGCTTTATGGGAAGGCAATCCGTAGACGAGGTTGATAGCTTCAAGTATCTGGGCGCAGTCGTCACAGATCAGGGCTCCAAGCCTGAAGGACTCTCCCGAATTGCACAGACAACAGCAGCACTAGCGAGGCTGAAGACCATCTGGAGTGATAAGCATATCTCTCTAAGCTCAAAGACCAGACTAATGCGCTCCCTAGTTATCTCTGTACTATTGTACGCCTGCGAAACCTGGACATTGACAGCGGACATCCTGAAGAAATTACACGCCACAGAGATGAGATGCTTTCGGAAACTGCTTGGCATCTCATACGGAGATCACATCACTAACGATGCAATCAGAGACAGAATCAGGCAAGCCATTGGGCCCTACAATGATGATACCTTAACCACGGTAAAGAAACGCAAGTTAAAGTGGTTTGGGCATGTATCGAGATCATCAGGGCTCGCCAAGACGATTTTACAAGGAACAGTGTACATGTAAGGAGGAAGAAGAAGGGACCGACAAAAGAAGCGTTGGGAAAACAACATCGCTGAATGGACAGGGTTGAAGTTTTGCCACGCCGTAAGAGAAGCTGAAAACAAAACAAAATGGAGGGAGATGTTTGCAACGTCAGTGGCGCCCCAACTGTCATTGACTACGGGATAGGTGCAGGTGCAGGTGCAATCCCTTATTTGGTCTAAACGCCAATGTCCCGCCAAACAGGGTACGCTTACCGGGGTCTTGAATCGTAAACAGTACAGGCTATTCAATTTCACCACTAGGGAAAAAACCGTCTTTATAGGTGTAACAGTAGTTTTTATTGTGGCCCATAAATAAGGGCAGAAGCAATATAAACCAAACGAGGTTAAGAATCCCAGCTGGCCGGAGGAATACCAATTGACTATTTACAATCCCAACCGAATAGTTGAACTAATCGCAATTTATTGGGGAAAAATTATCTAGTGGCCTCCGGTTAATAATAGCAAAGGGAAACCTGATTACAAACCTCTGTAGCCTTGCACCTATATCCAGTTTCGGAAAAAGCTTAAGGAGTAAACCTGGATGAACACCGGCCTGTGTGGAGCCTAAAGGACGGTGCTGTGGTCGACATTTCCTGCCGGCAGCTCCTGTGACCAAACCGATGCCAAATGCCTTTGGATCACACCGATAAGGTGGATAGGGAGGGGAATCTGGAGTCTGAGCAGGCTGGAGCCTCCATAAATCTTGCCAAGTTCTGCGTCACTGGAGGCAGCAGACTCGTTCCTAGTCGTCTTCGCGACGCGCACGGAGGGAGCAGGGAGTGGTGGGAACGGAAAAAAGAGGAGGGCTTCCTCCTTCCCATCACACCCTAGGAAGTGACTCAATTTCTTCTAACATTCACGCTTTTAGCAAAGTTTGCACCAGCTGGCGGCACACACACTACTTGTAGAGAGCTTTGGCTTAGAAGACAGCCGATTTGTTTTTCTTCTTTTCATAAGGTTTAAATTTGATCTCACCGTTGTAAGGAAAGTACCACGGAGATATAACTTGACATCATAGACGTCCTGTTTTTCCAAGAATCACACAACAGATTAGATTAAACCCACCTTGAATATGATTCATAGGATCGTATTTAGCGTAAATTACAAAGTAAATAAAACAATAAAATCAATATAGTTTTCCGTACGGTGATGATCATGCGATGCAACTAGCAGTTATTATAACCCTGAAATTTCTCGGAAAAATGAGCTGTCTCCGCCAATTAGTGCATGCTCAGAAGCTGACCGTTTCAAGCGTCAAGTCATACTTTACTTGCTGGGGGTAGTTTGTGGTCAAATTTTTGCCACTGTTTGATGGGAAAGGATTATCATTGAATGCGTTTGTATGGTGATTGCTACCTTCGCTTGCCTCAAGAACATCTAGAGTTGCTGGTTACGTTACCATCAGTACAGTTCAGCTGCCGTGCACTTTTACAAGAAACGAAGACGAAGGCTAGCAAAATGAGCAAGACTGAGGACAGCGATGGTTTGTAACTAGCTTGTAACTAATCATTTTGTATTCGCTCTTTGTCTTCCTTGAACTACTGACGGAAATTAAAAATTGCGTACAACGTTAACGACTAGCCGGAGGCAAAATGTCACTCCAGGAATTCAAAATTTCTTTACCGTGAAACTATATCATGACTAATGTCAAAATATAACCCTAGACACCGCATAATTTCCAAAGTTAAAATTAATTAATGTATGAAAGCTGTACAGCTTATAAAAAGCTATAAAGCACTCTGGTTTCGTTGCACTCTGACAAAAGCACTGATGAAGGATTATAGCTCAGTAAAACAAGTCTTTTACCTCGTCTTGAATCAGCTAAGATTTCAGTTCAAATTCTCTGTTTTTCAAATATCGACCGTAAGTCTATGAGCGAGGTCCCTATTCTAGTTTCGAATTTCGAGAGACAGAGGTCCACTGTTAATCTAATAAATCGTTAACCGACGTTTTCTTTTGTTCTTGAATTAAAAATAAGAGAACTAGACATAGTTTTATTGTCCATAACATTAGCGATGGCTAAAGGAGTAACTTAGGGGAAAAGCAAATTTAAAACAGAGGGTGAATTTGATATTGGCCGATATATACACAGTGTATACACAGCTGCTGTACATCATTGAATATGTTTCTAGGAAAAACAGGAAGTCTTTGATGTCAAACATATGTAGATTTGAACAAACCTAAAAGCGGGGCTCCCATCCGAACACAGGAAATCGAGATTATAACACATAATGGAAGTCAGAGTTAGATNCGGAAATTAAAAATTGCGTACAACGTTAACGACTAGCCGGAGGCAAAATGTCACTCCAGGAATTCAAAATTTCTTTACCGTGAAACTATATCATGACTAATGTCAAAATATAACCCTAGACACCGCATAATTTCCAAAGTTAAAATTAATTAATGTATGAAAGCTGTACAGCTTATAAAAAGCTATAAAGCACTCTGGTTTCGTTGCACTCTGACAAAAGCACTGATGAAGGATTATAGCTCAGTAAAACAAGTCTTTTACCTCGTCTTGAATCAGCTAAGATTTCAGTTCAAATTCTCTGTTTTTCAAATATCGACCGTAAGTCTATGAGCGAGGTCCCTATTCTAGTTTCGAATTTCGAGAGACAGAGGTCCACTGTTAATCTAATAAATCGTTAACCGACGTTTTCTTTTGTTCTTGAATTAAAAATAAGAGAACTAGACATAGTTTTATTGTCCATAACATTAGCGATGGCTAAAGGAGTAACTTAGGGGAAAAGCAAATTTAAAACAGAGGGTGAATTTGATATTGGCCGATATATACACAGTGTATACACAGCTGCTGTACATCATTGAATATGTTTCTAGGAAAAACAGGAAGTCTTTGATGTCAAACATATGTAGATTTGAACAAACCTAAAAGCGGGGCTCCCATCCGAACACAGGAAATCGAGATTATAACACATAATGGAAGTCAGAGTTAGATAATACTGAAGATGAATAAAGACTAAGCTATGAACACATCAAATCATCAAATGAGAATGATGAATTTTTGTAAAAAGCAACAGGTCTTGATACTATCTCTGCTAAAATAATACGTGAATGTGCCGATCTGATTTCAGTTTCTCCATGTGATCTCTTTAATAAATCTTTGCTCTCTGGTATATTTCCTGACAACTGGAAATGTGCTAGGGTTACTCCGTTGTTTAAGAAAGGTGAGGCATCTGATCTAAATAATTATCGACCTATTTCAGCCATTTCCGTTATAGCTACAGTGTTCGAAAAGATTGTTTATGAACAATTGTATAATTTTTTGAGCAACGAAGATATCATGATTTCTACACATCAATCGGGTTTTCGCTCTTTACACTCAACTGTAACTGTTCTCCTTGAAGCTACTGATAACTGGGCCTTTAATATCGATCGTGGTAATGTTAATGCTGTGGTTTTT